AAGCACCTCTGAGAGAAAGCCGCCCTCGAGTTCTGCCCGATGCCAGACAGTCCAGTTTCTCCCCGTATGAGTCTGGGTCCCCAGAGACTCACCCGGAACTGGAGTTCAGAGCAGTCAGGAGCTTGAGACTCCCTCCTGATTAAAAAAGACAACCGCATCCTCAGCTACCAGCCCTTTCCACATGGGCTGCATCCTCAGTTGCCAGCCCTTTCCACGTGCGCCTCCGTACCTCTGCACTTTACTCCCGTACCTCCTCTGAGTCTCAGTGTTTTTCTCTTTCCTTCTAGTTGTAGAACAGCCAGCCTTCCTGTGGTTCTGGATGTTGTCCATTCCGTCTTTTAGTTGTATTTTTGAAGTGGTTGTGCGAGGCAGCAATTTCCAGTGTTTACCTATGCCGCCATCTTGGTTTCTCTCCGAGAGGTTTCTTTGTTTGTTTTTGTTTTTCAGTTGAATTTTATACTCAGCCAGTATTGTCTTCAAGAAGTGCAATAGCTTTATTCAGTTTCACTTTCTTGATATTTCTGAGAATCTGGGAATGCTTCCATTTCCCACAAATCCATCCTGATTGACGCTAACATCCATTGACCAGGCAGCTCTTCTGCTGGTCTGTCTGCTGCTGCTCTCTCTGTTCCTCTTTGTACTCAAGCAAAGACCCAGACTCCTCTCTCAGTTCCGCAAAGCACACCTAATACCAGAAGATTCAGCTTAAGGAATTTTACTGTGGTTTTCCTGATAGCATCATTATTACCTCTCAGGGAAGGACAGGGGGTAGTCTCTGTCAACTTATCCCTACCTCTGCGGTGAGCACTCAGAGGCTCAAAGACGTTGAGAAACTTCCCCATGGTTAAAGAGAGCAAGGTCCAAAGCATTTTCCAGCGTTTGGCTAGTATCAGTGGTTAGGTAGTCATCGGTCCATTTAAGCTGTTTCACACAAAAGCATTAAAGTAACGGAACCACATGGTGAGATGATATTCTATTTTTAATTATCTCCCATTTCTTCTCATTCCAGGGAGGAAAGCCCCAGGTGGTTTCTAATACCCTTTGAAAAGTTCTCTAGCATGTGTCAATCTCCTTTTCTAACAAAGAGAGAGCAGACAACAAGTATCTAGCTTGAGTTTAATTATAGAGTTTTGTTTTCCTTGTATTTATTTATAAATATTTTTTATTGATTTTAGAGAGGAAGGGAGAGGGAGAGAGAGCTAAATTAGAAACATCAATGATGAGAGAGAATCATTGGTCGGCTGACTCCTGCACACCCCACACTGGGGATCGAGCCTGCAACCCAGGCATGTGCCCTGACTGGGAATTGAACCGTGACCACCTAGTTCATGGATCGATACTCAACCACTGAGCCAGCTGGGCTTCAGACACACATTTTTAAAAAATATACTTTTTAAAAATTGATTTCAAAGGGAGAGGGAGAGAGAGAAACATCAATGATGAGAGCCATTGATCAATTGCCTCCTGCACACCCCCTACTGGGAATGGAACCCAAAATCTGGGCATGTGCCCTTGACCGGAATGTGCCCAGGACCCTTCAGTCTGCAGGCCGACGCTCTATCCACTGAGCCAAAATGGCTAGGGCTACCCTGTTACAGTTTGATCGTAAAGAGCTCTCCTGGCCCATTCTCCCACTCTTTGTTCTAAAATTGGCTGGAAACATCCCTCAGCACATGAGTACAGGGATTTTGTGGTCTAACTTGTCATGCTTCTTCCTTGTGTCTGAGCTATAAGTTTTAAATAACTTTCCAATCTCATTACACTGGACAGAGAGAGAAGGAAGCACTGAGTCTGTGATAAATACTGAACAAGTCACAACAGTGCTTCTCCACAGCATATTTACCCTGAACCAGCTGCCCCTGATTAGGGAAAAGGCCTGGAGAACTGTAGGACACATGGTCAGCTGGCTTTGTTGGAAGTTGATTTTCATGGACCTCCTGGATTCTCATGTTTGGTGATGGGATAAGAAGAAAAGACTTCCAATTCTTCACTATACTTTATTCATTAATCCTTTATACACGTTTTGCCCTCTGCCTCCTGGAGTCTTGTAAATGGTGGGTAATAAGGAAGAAAATGAAAGAAATTTCTTTCACAAAGAGTCAGTGGTCTTAAAATGACAATATATGTTTCATCTGTATAGCATTTCAGTTATTTTCCTACATGCTCAGGACCCTAACAGTGGAGATAAATAAGATGTAAAGTGACCACAGGAAAAAGGTGTAATTTGCATGTGTTAATGACGGTATTAAATTTATGAGAAAGTAAGCGTGGACACGGAATACATTTTTGATGATCAAATCATAAATGAGATGTTTGCAGATGAGTCATACATAACCTTCCTATAAATGGAGTCTAGGTGTCCCATTCTGTCGGTCTCACTCATCCTTCTGTACACATCTTGGGATGTTTTAGGTCCCAGTGGCCTTTGAGGATGTGGCTGTGAACTTCAGTCTGGAGGAGTGGGCCCTATTGGAGCCTTCACAGAAGAAACTCTACAGAGATGTGATGAGGGAAACCTTTAGGAACCTGGCCTCCATAGGTAAGGATGAGGACATTCCTTCCGTTGTCAAGTAGAGAACAAGTGTTTCTTGTTCATCAGCATAATTCTATGATGTGTAATGTATAAGGGAGCATGGTAAATAAAGTGGGCATGGTCTCTGCTCATCATAGATCTAGAAGCTAATAATTTTTTTATAATTATAATGATTTGGAATGATTTTTCTGGTTCTGAATTTTAGGGGGAAAATGGAAAGATCCGTACTTTAAAGATCAGTACAAAAACCAGGGAAGAAAACTAAGGTGAGTTGCACAATAGAAAGCAGTGTCTCATGTGAGAATTCTCATTTGTTGTGAAATCTTAAAAAGAAGCAGACAAAACTAAATGAATCTTGCTAAAATGTCTTTCTTAGAACGGTTTTACTAAAACTACTTTCTTAAATGTAGCATACATGTTCAGTTTGTAAATTTTATCACTTGGAAGCTGAATTAGTAAACTGTATATATGAATATCACAGTTTGATAATAGCATGGGTGAAGTTTTCTTGGAGAGCATTCAATACATTCAATTTAAGACAATTTAGACAAGAAAGGATACCTGCCGAAACCGGTTTGGCTCAGTGGATAGAGCGTTGGCCTGCAGACTGAAAGGTCCCAGGTTCGATTCCGGTCAAGGGCATGTACCTGGGTTGCGGGCACATCCCCAGTAGGAGATGTGCAGGAGACAACTGATGGATGTTTCTCTCTCATCGATGTTTCTAACTCTCTATCTCTCTCCCTTCCTCTCTGTAAAAAATCAATAAAATATATTTTTAAAAAAAGAAAGGATACCTGAACTTTTCCTATAAATCATAATAAATATAATGAATATGAAATCAATAATGTGCTTCTTGATTTTTATAGAAGTTATATGGCAGAGAAACTCGGTGAAAGTAAAGAGAATAGTGAATGTGAAGAAAACTTCAACTTTATTTCAAATTTTAATCAAAAGAAGAAGAAGAAGAAGACTACTGGAGTAAAACCATATGAGCACAGTCCATGTGGAAAAGCCTTTATGTGTCATTCATCCATTGATAGACTTACTAGATGTCACATTGGACAATATGAGTACCTGAAATACGGAGAGAAGAAATATAAATGTAAGGTATGTGGGAGAGCCTTTAGTTATCTACATTGCTTTGAACAACATGAAAGAAATCACAATGGAAAGAAAACCTGTAAATGTAAGGCACGTGGGAGAGTCTTCGTGTGCTTCAAAGCCCTTCGAAAACACATGATAACAAACACTACAGACTCTTCTTATAAATGTAAGGAACGTGGAAGAGTCTTCAGTTGTTCAAATTCATTTCTATTACGTGAAAGAATGCACACAGGAGAGAAACCCTGTGAGTGTGAACAATGTGGGAAAGCTTTCAGTATTTCTAGCTCTCTTCAAATGCATGAAATAGCTCACAGTGGACAGAAACCCTATGAATGTACGGAATGTAGAAAAGCCTTCAGATATTATCAAAGCTTTCAAACACATAAAAGAAATCACACTGGAGAGAAACCCTATGAATGTAAAAAATGTAATAAAGCATTTAGTCGTCTCAGTTATCTTCGAAAGCATGAAAGAATTCACGTTGTAGAAAAACCCTATGAGTGTAAAATATGTAATAAAGCATTCAGGTATCCTAGTTATCTTCACATACACGAAAGAACTCACACTGCAGAGAAACTCTATGAATGTCAAATATGTAGTAAAGCATTTAGTTGTCTCAGTTATCTCCAAAAACACAAAAGAACTCATAGTGGAGAGAAACCATATAGATGTAAGGAATGTGGAAAAGCCTTCAGGTGCTATCGAAGTCTTCAAACACATGAAAGAAGTCACACTGGAGAGAAACCCTATACATGTAAAATATGTAGTAAAGCATTCAGGTGTCTCAGTGATCTTCGAAGACATGAAAGAACTCACAATGCAGAGAAACCCTATGAATGTAAAATATGTGGTAAAGCATTTAGATGTCCCCGTTATCTTCAAACACATGAAAGAAATCACCCAGGAGAGAAACCCTATGGATGTAAAATATGTAGTAAAGCATTCATGTATCCCAGTTATCTTCAGAGACATGAACGAACTCACACTACAGAGAAGCCCTATGAATGTAAAATATGTAGTAAAGCATTTAGATGTCTCAGTTATCTTCAGATACATGAAAGAAATCACACAGGAAAGAAACCCTATGGATGTAAAGTATGTAGTAAAGCATTCATGTATTCCAGTTATCTTCAGAGACATGAAAGAACTCACACTGGAGAGAAAGCCTAGGAATATAAGGAATATGGAAAAGCCTTCAGTTATCACACAAGCTTTCGAAGACACCTGACAATGCACACAGGAGAGAAACCATATAAAAGTGTAGGATGTGAGAAAAGCCTCAGTTATCCCAGTTCCTTTCAAACACATGAAGGGACTCTCTGGATAAAAGCTCTTGAATGTAAACAGCATGGAAAAGACTTGAATTGGCTCTCATCCTTCCATGTGAAAATTCCCATGGAGAGAAATAAACATGTAAGTAACATGAGAAAGCTTGATAGAAATTAATCCACGTATAAGGTGCCAGAAAACTTTCAACATGAAGAAGTTTTTCTTGAGGTTGTAAATACATTGTATTTATTAAACCTCTTTTTGAAGTGCATTATTGGACCTTGGATTTCTACTAATTGCTTTCAGCAATGAATACTCAGGTGAGATAATTCTAAGGGTTGTCATTCAACAATAGTACATAAGATTAATAGCGCTTTCCCCTTAAGCCCTAGCCAGTTTGGCTCAGTGGATAGAGCGTCAGCCTGTGGACTGAAGGGTCCTGGGTTTGATTCCGGTCATGGGCACATGCCCAGCTTGTGGGCTCGGTCCCCAGTGATTCTCTTTCATCATTGATGTTTCTATCTCTCCCTCTTCCTTCCTCTCTGAAATCAATAAAAATATATATTAAAAAAGTAGTACTTTTCCCTTAAAATGTTTAATATTTTTCTTCATGTTGAAGTCTTTTAGATCCATAGATATTTAAAGTATATTTCTTATATGCAGTTAGGTTAATTTTTTGTTTACAATGTTTCATTGTTCCGTGTTAAGGAGCCATTTTAAAAAGAACAGTTTGCTAATTTTTTTTTTTAACAGTTTGCTAATTTGATTTCCTTAGTGGTCTTGTGGCAATCCTTTATATTCCTAGATTATTATTATATAAATTCTATTTTCCCTCAGACAAAGCTCCTTTTTGGAGGTGATGGGTATAAGAGCCTTTCCCATTTTTATACTAATAAATATTTAGAATAAATTTTATGTATCACAATTTTATTAAATAAAGTGGTTTTATGTGAATACTATTTTTATATTTGTGCCTTTGATTTTTTAAAATTTAAATGTTTTATTGTTTAAAGTATTACATGAGTCTCCTTTTCCCCCCATTGACCTCTCCCCAGTCC